CTGCAATTAATCCCACAGGGATTAATTAATTTTTGACAGGCCTCCGTTTGAAAATTATGGTGGCGGTTTCCTGAATCACGGCATCAGTTGAGCAATTCATTGAACCACAACAGAAGACAGAGGCTTAGATTGCTTCTGGCTTCCCAAGGCAGGGTTTGTCATGTGCTAGGAAATGAAGTCATAGTTCCTCCTTTCTCCAAATGCCAGATTTTCAGAATTGGGTCATCTGGTTTGAGCAGAGCTCTGATGCTTGATAGTCCTAACAGCAACAGCCTGTTATTAGTGCTGCTTTGGTCCTGAGCTGAGGCTGTGAGTCAAGTGCTGCCCCAGAACAGGATACACAGATGGCCGTTCAGGGATGTCTCATACCTGATGCACAGTGATGTCCACTGAAGTCTACATCACTTTTTTCTTTTCTTCCCACTAAACACCTTGTCCTCACAAACTCAAAAACCACCTGAAAGCCTTTAGCCAGATTGGAAAGTGATGGGTACTGTGAGCAGCTGCAGGTCTAATACTCGCAGCAAAGGAGCCTTAGCATAAGAAAATAAAAATTAAATAAAATGATGGCATTGTGATGCTAGGCATGTACCTGTAAGGGTGTTGTATCATCAGAAGGCTGGAACAAGAATTACCCAATTTTCCACTCCTGCAGGAAACAGAGCATCCTTGCTTCTCTTCATTTTATCACAATAAGGAATATTTGCTTTCTTTTGTCCGGGAGAAAACTGCTCATCCCTTTCATTCTCGGACAGTGTGGAGGAGATCTGGGGAAAGCTGAGGTCTTGGTTCAGAAACCCACCAGTGCACGGGCTTGTTTAAAGAGAAGGGAATTCCCATCCTGCCTTCATCGCTGACTTCCCAACTGATACCAAACCACAGAGCTCTTTGCCCGACGCCGCCCGTCAGTGGCCGGATCACACTCTAGGAGTTTTAAATGATGTCTGAACACCTCATGGTGTTGGGACACAGCCAGGAGACACTAAGAAAACCTACACCCTTACCAAGTGTGGACAGGAACTCTCACTGGGAGCCATCAGAAAAAACTTGGAAAAGCATGAAGGGGCCAGGAACACACATCCCGTTTCCAGAAGAGCCTTGCCAACACCAGAGCTCTGGGTGATAATCACATCAAACACCTGCACGTTCCAGATGAAGTCCCAGGAGACTCCATTTTTTGTGTGTAACCCACAGGTTGCCTGCGAAAGCCAACCCTAACTCAGCGCTGCTGTAAACACGGCACGAGTAAGTAGCAAACGCAGAGGAGATCTTGCACCTCAAGTCTCAGAAGACCTGCTCCCTCACCCCCAACCACCTGCTGCCTCCCTCTTCCTGGAGGTTACCCCAGGGCTTATTTACAAACAACATTTCGGGGGATGCGGGCAGGCGTGTGAACATGCAGCACTCAGGAACACCTCAGAAGGACGGCTTCTTTGAAAAAAGCCACCTTTGTGTTCAGTCCACCTGACACCACAGCCGTGGCAGAAACCCTGCAGAATCACACCAGACAGGCACGAGCCCTTGCGCCAAACTGCTGTCACTGGGATGATACATCGTGCAGGAAAAAAAAAACAAAACCAAAACAGTTATATTTGTCATCGCTTGCCAAAAACATGTACACACCCTACATCTACGCAGACAACCGTGCTATTATCTGATGGTTCGTAGCTGCTCCCTGCCAGACCTTTTAAGTTGAAACACGGGTGGAAAACATCTGGACGCCTAATGCTCTGCTCCCTGCCCAGACCAGGAGTTGCACCCTGCCCGTGTTTGGTGAGGGAAGAAGAGGATGGCTGCCAGGCGAGCTAGTAAGATGCCATCAAACCTGGTGAGGTCTCAGATCTGATGGCTCTTTACATTTCTGCATTTGTGCCCTAAGGCAAAGGCAGTTCTTTACACAGTGCCTGCTGCTCTTCAGGCTGCCAATGGCAGTCACTGTCTCAGTGGCACTATGTCAGAAAAGCTGGGGGAAGGAAACGTGCTAGTCCCCCACCCATCTACCCTAAATATAAAAAAAAAGATCTCTGCTATATCTGGATGTTCCTAAAATCCCCAGATTCTGCTGGACTTTTACTCGCTTTTGTGATAGCCCATGCGGTGAAGGTCACACATATCACAGGCTCCTGGCAGGTAGCACTGTTTTCCAGAAAGAGCAGGGACTTTAGATGCTGTTTAGAGGCCACCCAGCTCTCAAGGTGAGCAGGGAGGTGCTCCTGTGCACCCTGCTGGCTTGCAGGCACCAGGCATCTGATGCAGCACCAGTGTGGCCTGGCCAGTTTCTGGTCTGCTGAGCAGTTTGGTGACCACACTTTACACCCTTGTAACCAGTCCCTCTTCCAGAAGGAGCTCCAGACCCAGGAGGCTGAAGGACACAGATGATGTGGAAAGGCGACCCCCACAGCAGATGGCATTGCAGAGGACACAGCTTAGCTGTCTGGTCTTGTAGGATGGGCAGGGCATCTCTGCTCAACAGTTTCCCCAGGCAACCCTCTGTACACAAGAACATCTGGCCGCCCTGGGCCTCCAAGAACATTTCTGAGTGTCCCCCACCAAGGTACAGGCACACGGAATCCTCCTTCCAAAGGCAGATGAATGGCATCATCTTGTGTTATGGGGTTAACGGCTCCGTGGCTTGCAGCATCTTATCTCCTCAACATTCAATGCTTCTTTCTGTCTGCCCTTCCCTGGGTATTCATTCAAAGCAGCTTTTTCTCCCATCCTGTTTTGTTTGCCACATTGCATGGAGACAAGAATAACTAGAAAAGATGTACTTGCAAGTGCAGAAGGAGCTCTGCAGTGAATAATCATGGTACACAGAGGATTTTGTCTTCAAGCTCTTCTAGGTATTGCTTCCTCATACCTTTCAGAGGAGAATCGATAAGTGTTTCCACTCTTGCATGTGAATTCTCTCCCAGGTACCTGTAGGAATTTGGCCCTCAGAACAAAGTGTCCATACACAAATCGCTGTATCTTCTTACACATAGCCCTTTTGTTTTTTTCTCTTTCCTTATTACTTTCTTTCTTTCTAATCATTCTCAAAGAGAGCTAATCAATGCTATCACTAGTAATGGTTGTAACAAAGTAAGCCATCAGGCTGTTCTAAAAAGAAATCTTGCAGATCTTTCCAGGGGTAGCTGCCAGTTTCCATTTGACTTTGGTGTATATTACAAAATAAACCACCGGCAGGTCACAGACCCTGCTTTTCCATCTCCAAAGCCTGTCTGAAGAGGCAACGTGCCATAATGTCCCTGAGCAACTTCTGCGTCAGCTGCACTCATAATATTCTTAAGCCATGTCTTGAACACGATAGTTGGATATATTCAGCTGCAACCAGGAGACTTCATCACGTCTGTGAGACCATCCCAGGGAAGCACTCTGGATTGCCCAAGCCAATTCCTCAGCGCTGTTTGCTGACCTACCCAGGCCTGGACCCTGCAAGATGGCACACAAGGTGTGCACGCTGCTGCTGGTTATCCTTGGGTATGAGAGGAGGAGGAGGAGAGGCCAGGCAGCCATCCCTCAGGCTGTGGAAGCATGGAGGTTCTTAAAGTGGCAATCTGGGTGAAATCAGGGCACAAAGGGAAAAGTGAAAGCAGCTGAGTTGTCAGAACTTTACCAGTTTGCTTAGCTGAACCTGCATTAACCACGTTAATCATTAGCCACCACCAGCATACTCACTTTTAGACCAAAAGAAAGCACATTAACATCAAACTCCACAAAGATAGCTTAACTCAAGCTGTAGAGCTCAATTCAACAGTTTCACTGTACAGTTGCAACAGACGGCGAAAGCACCTGGTAGACCCTGTCCATCACCTGTCCATACCTCATTCCTCTGTCTCTTCTCTTTCCTTTCCACTTGTCACTATGGCAGGATCTTCGACATGATGCCTTGTTATGTGCTGTTGTGCTGAGCAACAGCACACAGACCCACCACTAGCACCAAGCAATAAGAAGGCAATTTATTCAGCAGAAATTCCTGGGTGATGGGAACGCACTCCCAGAATATGTGGTGAAAATCATATTCCTCTATCCCTCACCCAGAGTCACTTTTCTCTTACTGTTCTGAACTGATGTCCTCACACCAACACAAACACATTGTTCTTCCCTAGATGGCAGTTCCCTAAGGGATTTGGCTTTTTCCTTTTTCTTATGTTGCTTTCATAGACCCTGAAACGCTCTGACCTTCTCCAACAGAGTTGTCATCCCATGTGGATGACAGTGGATGCTCAGTGGAATTTTGTTTGAGCTCTCAAGGGATTTTCCACTTGAGATGTTTCTCATTCACAGTGTAGGGGCTTTATTAGCTTTAGCTTTCTGGTCTTTTAATTTTAAAACTTCTTGAACACACACAATGCAAACCCGACAAGAAGCAACTGTCTTAAAAGATGCATATCCTTGGGAGGGCCTTTAATTGTATTCTAGACAAACATTAGAACAAAACTATGTGTAGAGCAGAACCTTACTGCTGAAATTCCAACTGCAAAATAAGTGATTCCAAGCCAAACTGCACCTTGGAATTGATGTAACCAGATCAAGTTCAGGAAGTTGTTTTTAATCCAAAAAGGCTCCCAGGACATAGGCTTTCAGTCCTGCTGAAGTGAGATTAAATGAGCACATGGCTCAAGTCAAGCTTGCCCGTAAGTACATTCCTGGGCAGGGCTTAACCAATTGTTTAAATGTGTTCCTGAAACACAACCCCAGAAGTTAAAGAGGGTATGACAGCAGCTATTTCTTGGTGGGCCTATTTGCACTCTGCTAATTGAAAATCACCACAGGTCCACGGGGACTTCCCAGCTGGGCTGATACTCATACTTCATAGAATCATAGAATGGTTTGGGTTGGAAGGGACCTTTAAAGGTCATCTCATCCAACCCCCCTGCCATGGGCAGGGACATACCTGAAAAGCATGAGAGACAGCTTTCGGGTTTTTTATACAATGCACTTTGAAATGCCAAGTAAATTGTTCTCACTTGATTAAAGAAAGTAGTCAACTTTGCCGAAAACAGTTTATTAAATACAGGACATTTGGTTGCTACACCTAATTACAGACAAAACACTGTGAATAAAGCATGCACTTATCACAGACATCAATGACTATCTCGATTATTTTTCAAATGGTCTTTGATTCTGTAAGTTTAAGGCTGTACCAATACAAATTTTAAAAAACAAAAAGTCACACTACAATAGTAGCTAACATTGTACGGACAGTGAAATCAATCTCCAATGCAGCAGAACCAGACTTCTTAAAGATTATCATAAGGGAATAAAAATGGAGCTGAAGTGCAAAAAAGATCAGAGCATCTCTGGAATTTGCAGATCAGTAAAAGTGAATGTTATACTCCAATTAGTAGACAACTGAATCCATTCTTTTCAAAAGCCTAATTATCTGACAACTGAGCAAGGGATGAAACTCTGACACCATTTAAAAAAAAAAAAAGACCTCTCGGTTTTACTTTCTTCTTATTGAGGGCACTTTTTTATTCAAACACTAAAAGAGCATTATTCAAGGAGACATCTGACTGAAGTGTGGCAGACAGCAGGACAACACACGTTTGTTTACTCCATCCCAATTAGAGTGGAGAGTCTCACAGTAGGGAAAAAAAAAAAAAGAAAACCACAGTAAAAAAAAAAACAAACAGTTCTCAACTGGCACAAGCGACAGACAACTTTGTTGACCATATTGGTCTTCACCTGGGAAGGACCTTACCCTGTATGAGGTTTGCTTCTTAAAAATACGCGGCAGAAATATTGTATCCCCAAGGGTCAAAACTTACCCAGCTGCCGAGTAAAAAATTTACCAGCCCTGGAAACCCAGTTGGGGATCTGGGGCTCGAAGTAGGTTATGAAATCTTTCCTCATTTACAGCACTGAAGCCTTTTCACTCGTTTTTCTCAGGTCACTGTGTAATTCCAGAAAGAAGGTAATTTGAGGACACTGGGGTTGAACTGGTAGCTCTGAAAACGGACTGTAGTTCACCGTTTCGCTCAGGTTATAAGAAAATGATCCACTAATCTGTACCTTCCCCTCAGATATTATAGATTTGCAGAGTTTAATGCATTAAAATGCATCAAAATATTCCTTCTCCCTAATAAACCATTGTATCTATAATCTCCCGATTGCAGGGGCAAGAAATCTGTGTTAAGAAGGTGCCCCGTGTAGGGAAAACTGCATTTGAGTGGAAGATACGCAGCACTGCTCATGCTAAGATAGCTGCCTTAAATAGATGATTACAGATAAGGTTTGGAAAGGGGTCTAAAAAAAGCTAAGTAAGTCCCCGAATTCCACTGGGGCTTGGATGGATAATTCTCTCCTGGCTCTGCAGCACAGCCTGAGCTACAGATTTATGGTTTTTTTCTAAAAATAATAATAAAAATGCGCAGTGTAATGTACTTCAGACAAAAGGCAATTACAAAAGCAATTACAGGACTGACAATGTGTACACTGAAGTTTTCACAGTGATTGAAAGGTGGTATCTGCTGTGCTGGAGGACACATTTTTTTTGGACTTTGGGCCAAGATACAGAAGAAGCTAGGAAGACCAGTTGGTGAGACAATTAGTGCAATTGGTGAGACCGTGGAGGCTCAGATTTAGCTGTAAGTAGAAGAATTGCAGGAAATGAGACTGTGTATCACTGTCTTGCTTATTTAATATTAGGGCCACACAGGCAGGAGCTTTGCAGAGTCAAAACCCTTCACTCATACTAGTGGAAGCATGTGTCCATGTGTAAATGGCTACTAGACACGCAAAACAGTACTATAACTGGTCTCAGCTGGTTTCTGATCTGGCAGGAGGAGCCTGAAGAAGCTACTAATTTTTAAAAGACTATAAAAAGGCCGAACATTTCTGAAGAGAGCCCTATTGCCTCCAAGAGATGGGAACTGAGGGGCTTCAAAAGTCTTCTAAAGATCCTAGTCACTTCTGGAAGGTTTAGCTCTGCAGGTGAGGTTTCCAGATTCATCAGTGTTTTGGGCACTGGCTTGCATGGGATAATTTTCATTGTGTTCTGGGCTGCATCCTTTAACACTGCTTTTTGTAAATGTCCTGGGTATCACAAAAAAAGGAGCACCTACATTAAAAATTTTGGCATAAACTTATTTTTTGGAAGTTATTTTTACATCTCAAGGGTTGTAAATTGTCTTGCTGGGGAACAGAGATGGCTTTAGACCAGCACCTCTAAGGATGAATTCAATACACCTATTTTTCCAATCACACTTCTTTTTCTGGCAACTGGGTATTCCAATTTGAAAAGTCTTCTCAAGACCTGGCTTTCACCTCAGTAAAGATGGAAAACTGATAGTTAGTCTTTTCTTTTTTCCATACAAAATATTATTTTAAAGACCAGCCTAGGTACAGTTGACCATGCCTGGTGGCTGGGAAATGCACTAGACAGATGAACATCTCGTATTTCCCTCCTGCCTGTTTCTGTTGTGTGATTACAGCATGGCACGATTTCAGCCTGTCAAAATCTTATCAGAAGCACGACGAATGCCTCTGTGTGTGTGCATATTTGCTGTACTGCCAGATTCAAAGCAGAGGGTGGAAAAGGAACTGAAAACGCGATGTCAGAATTTTGATAAACAGGGCTTGTCTGCCACGAAGCGCAGTTGGAAAGATCGAGACCAAAAATCTTGGGCTTGAATTTCATCCAAGTCTCATTTGGCAGCAACGTGTGGCTTCGGCGGAGGCGGAAGAGGGGCTGGAATCCGCCACTTGACCGGGCTGACACTTGTTTACAAGAGCAGGCTCACAACTGTTATGAGAGCTAACAGCTTCTTACGGCAGTCAGAGGGCTGCTTTCATTAAACTGGGTTTTTAGCACGCTCCCCAGTGACTGGAAGGGGCTTGGCTAACCACCGGGTCCCTTACCAACAGGAACATTTGGGCACTACGCGTTCCCTCCTACCCCTCGCATTCACAGTTGGCAGACTTGCTGCTGCAGTGGGTGTAGCTGGGGAAGATGGCTTCTTTTCAGCTCTATTAAAGGGTTTGGTTTTTTTCCAAATGAGAATTAATGAGAAGACACTTTAAAGAAAGATGGAGAGTTCAAGATTATTATTTTTTTTTCACTTTTTACTTTTTTTTTTTTAAGCTTCAAGCTGGTAAATGATCATCTGTGCAGAACAAGATATTAGAAGTTTGGCACCTCCTGTCTACCACAACATATTGATTCCTTCTACAGAAGGCACTAAATACTGGCTTAAAACAGAAAATGAACAGCAGAATGCAGAGTTCTACCATGACACACAAAAAAACCTGCTCACTGGCACAGCTTCATATTACAGTTTCCAGTTACCTAACAACAGTGGTGATTATAGCAGCAATGGTTATCATTTTTACAAGTACCACATAAATGTACAAATGTCAGAACATCTAGAAAACATGCAAAATTTCAACAGCAACATCACTGAATCACACAATGCATAGAAATATTATTATTATTATTATTATTATTATTATTAATATTATTATTTGGCAAGACAGTGAATCTTTTTTCTTATAAAACAAAACAAAAGAGTTAACAAAATCTACTTTTTTTACAAACTGTTCTTAAAAAAGTTGAGTTGTCATTAAAGTCAGTGAGTGGAAGTTAGCCTTAGAGAGAGGTTTAACTCTGAGAATGCATCGGTCACTTAGAAGAATTCACATTGTTAGGTAAAAGTTTGGTTACCTTTAAGCAAAATATGTTTTTCAAATGCTGTTTTGGGAGAAACGGTGCTAATCTTGTCAATTTACAAATTGGGAGAAAACACATTCACATTAAAAGATTAGAAAGATTAAACATTGCATGCAGGGGAAGATAAAAGCCTTACTTTAGCTGTTTCTCCCTAGCACTGCTCACCATGAGACCAAGGGTTGTCATAGCAAAAATGCTTTTCAAAGGCAGAGCTAAAGCCAGCAGATAATTAAAACAAATGGAAAAGATTTTCTAATTCCAGTGTAAAACAAAGTAGGATATTAAAGGATAAGGATTATGCTCGCCTTCTTTAGGAAAAAAAAATAAATAAAGGACAAAAACTTCCATTGTGTTTGCCAGGCTTTCCCACTGCCTTTCCTCTATCTTCATCACACTTAGGCATTCTTGCCATTTCTTTTTCTTCCCATCTTAAATAATTTGGTCTTCCCTGATAGGTCTCAAGATGACCCTGAGACAGATGGGTCACGCGGACGAAAACAAGCACTGGCAATGCAACCATGGCCAAGCGATGTCCTTTCCAGCTTCAGACCCCTTCTTTCCAGTGGGGTTAGTCATGGTTTACAGCTATGTGCTGTGGAAGCAGGGTGGAAGCTGGCGGCACAGGCATCTCCCTCCCTGCTCTGCACAACTGGCACCAAGTCCTCTCCAGCAGCAGCACCACCTGGCTTGCAGGCACTGCCAGAAATCAGAGGAGAATCAGGCTCTCACCATTTCTTCCCCTGGCAGCCTTCAGACTCCGTTAAGATGTTTCATGTCATGTTTTGTCTGCACGCCCCCGGACGCTCTGGATGTTTCTGCCTTTCACATCCACGCACTCAGCCTTCTGCAGACCCACCTGGTCTCACAAGCCAGAAGGAAAAGCTGGTGAGATCTGAACCGTTAAAGCACCATATGGAAAACAAAGGCCTCCCACAAAGTGACTCACACTGGGGTCATCCATCATTCAGTGCACCTTCAGCCTCAGAGACACGAGGAGAAGATTTGTCTTCCTACACAGAAGTTACCAAAATCAGTTCAAAGCCAGTTGCTACTGCCTTGCCTTCTGGATCTATACTGTGCATCCACTGTACAGATTACACAGGCTGAAATGCGTCTCCTGCACGGGTTTGTTTTCCAGGCTGGAATTTGACACACAGTAAGCATATTAAATGCGTGATAGTAGAAGGGAAGGAGCAATGTGGGGCAGACCAGGGACTACTTAAGGCTACACGTGATTTAGGCCAGCTGAGAACGTGCTATAATGGTAAGGAGGACAGTCTCAGAAAGGTTACAGCTTTCGGAAAGCAGATCAAATTCTAGGCGTGAGGAATGTGAGAGAGTTGTCTTTGTTCACAAAAATAACAGCTGAAGTGGCAAAGATAATAGCTGTAAAATTAATTTTAAGAGTTTAGTTTTCTAGTGTAACCAAAACATCTTGCATTTTCTTGATTCTTTTCCTCTCATTTGGCTGCTTCATTATTTTCTTGACACTTCTGGACCATATAAAACAACAGTAACCAAAACCAGCAAAGGCGGATTCCTGGAGCATTGTGAAAAAGCTAAACACCTCTTCTCATTCCCATGGAAAGTCTGTCCCAGTGAATTTCAATGATAGCACCTTCCTCACAGGTATCCTAAACACTGTGAACCAATCTTCTAGTAATTACAAAAGATCAAATCTGAAAAGGTACTATTTATTCATATACTAGTGACTGTGGTGAATGAATGCCAAGCACAAGAATAAAAGATTAGGCAGAAAAATCCGAATCCCTTTGAAACAGTAAATCCATCTCCAATGCACAGATAGCTCATTTAATGGCATTTGTGTATTAAAACAAATAGAATTTTGTGTGCATCTCCAACTGAAGTTAACCAATTCTGTCAGAAAACAGAGGAAATAAATAAACTCCTCGCTTGAGACAGAGACTCTAGAGACCATGTTAAAAACCATCAGTTCACATAACAAGCAAATTGTGTGCCAAACCAATTCTTCCCCCCATCAGATTAGGAATTGAAGCTTTAGGCATCACCACTACTTTGAACATGCTCCAGTGAATGGCTAGTGTCAAACTTTTCAACAAGCTCTCAGGCATTTCTAAGCTGTGGGGCTTTTAGCTTTCCAGCATGTCACCGCCGTAAACTCCTCTCTGCTGCTCTCAGGAAGGATTGAGGAGCTGGAGGACAACTTCAGCAGAGCTTCGCAAGGCCTCCGCCAGAGACAGCGCGGTGGGGAGGAATGGGCTGGCACCTGGTTTGCACAATGGCAGCAGTGCAACCACACAACTCGCTGGGGGCTCAGAGAAACCCCATTTGTCCTCAGAAGGGCAACTCCATCGCTGGCTGAAGTCACGTTGCTGTGAAAGAGGTGGAGCAGTGATGTCCCTGGTGGCCCTTAGCTTTCCAAAACCCTTGAGGAGACAGGGCACAGCCTCACGTGTCCATCATACGCTGTCCGTGGGGAAAGACCATCATTTAATTGTGCTTAGGGCCTTCCCCCTTCTTGGCTTGCAGGCACCCGGCTGATAGGGGTGTCCTCAACAAGCTATCCCCAGGCTCTCGGTGTCTGGAGAGCGGTGCAGTGGCACCCGTGGTGGCTCTGCACAGAGCCAACAGACATGCTGTGAGACACCAGCTGAAGCAGTACTGTCCCCAACCACCAAGGCACGCTCAGCACGTGGGGACCATCACCAGAAAGTATACTTCAAGTTTTTTGGCTAGGGATATAGCCATGCTTTATGCTGGACTGCCTTCTCTCCTCAGCACTGACAGTGCAGATTCAGCACACACATGAAAGCACAGAGAGAAGATAAAATACATCCTCTCTCTTAAGAACAAGGACAGCAACTCACCTTAGGCAAAGCAGTCATCTCTTCACACTGACATTTAGCAAACAACCCTCATTAAGAAGTGCCGACCACTTCCCACCATGTTTTACAGTGAACAGCCAAGTCCTTCTCTACCCTAACCCAGAGGCATGAATTGGCTCATTTCAGGTAAATCAAATCACATTTGTGTGTCCTGTAAGCTCTCCTCCTTCCCACACTTTCACAAAGCCTCTGGGAGCTCAGGGAGTCAGAGGGGGTCCTGATGCCCTGTTGGCCACAACACATGAGATGAATTGACTTCCATGATGGAGTGAACCCAAGAGATATGTACTGATGAGGACTAGTTATCTCATTCCTATTTTAAGGATGTCAGTGGAAGGCCAAACAGCACACGGGTGTGGGCCTGGTCCTCTACACGGGAGTGAACTTCAACTCATTGCATGATGTGACAGCTGTCTCGCAAAAAGCGGAGGAGAAGAGAGAGGGAGAGTGCCTCCAGCAGGAGGGATGCGAGCCTCCAGAGAGCTCGCCTCCAGTATCCCACAAACCCCACGTACCCGACGCGAGGCGGTCTGCCCTGAGCGCGTTATCCCCAAAGCACAAGGTCACTTGATAGGCAGGGAGGGAGCCCTCCGCCAAGAGCCGCCCTGCACAAAGTGGTCCCCTTGCCCCACAGTGCAGACGCCGGGAGAGGGGAGTATTAGAGGATCAGGGACAGTGAGAGAAGCAGGGGTGTCGGGGATGGGGAAGACCAGTCAGTCCATCAGTCACTTGCAGCTTATTGTCAGGAGGAATGATGAGCCCGTGCACCACATGTGCTAGCCAGGTCAGTCAATGCACTTATGGGGTGTACTCAGACAGGGTGACAAGAAAGGGTAAATACGAGGTGGACAGGGAGGAAACCTAGTGCAACAGGAATCTCAGCTTCCTTTAAGGCTGTTAACACCTGCTCTTCCTGATCCCCACCTTCCCACCCCACACCGCTTGCGCAAACAGCAGAACAGGATGGGGTCACAAACATCTGAGACAAGCACACACAGCATAGGACACGTTGCTGGCACCTCATTCTCTACACAGCTTTCTAAGAGGGCAACTAGGCTGTAGACTGAACACCAGCGCACAGCAGCTTCTAAAAACAAAAACACAGAACAGCTTGACAGCGTCGATACTCTTCACGAAGGAGAACGTGCAACAGGGACACCGACTCCATTGTTAGATTGTCCTGTATGTCAATAGCCTGGATGCTGCTACCACAGAATTATTGCACTATGCAAATGAACAAGGCATGTGCTGTTATTTTAGATATCCCTCGTAATTTAGTCTACAATGTAGTCCACAACAGTATTTCATTCTCCTGCACTTATAAATACATTTCATTGCATAAATACATATTTGAAAATTAAAGAGGCAGTTTGCAACACCCAGATATCAAAGACTTCATTTCCAACCACCTGCATGAATACATGTACATTGTGCAAACCCACAATATCATAAATACATGCATGAATGACTAATAAAACAGAGCTTAAGCCGCCCAAGTGCCCGCAGCTCTGCCCAGCTAAATGTGCAATCACGTGAACAGATCCAAGTGCATGTATCCAGATCGGTCCAGTGACATCCATGTATGATCCCCATGTCGGACTCTTGGTTTGGTGTCATGAGAAGGCCACGTGGGAAAGCCTGCGCCCACATCGGTGCCGACTCCTTCGCACTGTGTGCAGGCCTCTGCTTTGGCACTCTGCCTCTTTATAAAGCTCAAGGCCAAATTTTGGTCTTGGTCGCACTGAGCAAATCTCCCCAAAGCTGGTAGATGGTTCTGAAGGCAACCAAAATGCCTGCAAATGACTCAGAAGGGTCTGAGTCTGCCCTTTTGATGGGCTTCCAAGGCTACAGTAGCTGAGCCAGGCTAACGACTCTGTGATACTGGCAGGGGAGCTCCTTCTTCTATCTCCTCCACTGGCTTTGCACCTCAATTTGTGAGCAGATTCAACCCGGTGATCTGGCAGAAAATTATCTGACTCCCCCTTTTTGTGCTGCATTTTCTGCTGGGCTAGTGAGTTGAAATGACTCACTGAAGAGGTCTAACACCAGATCAAAGAAAGGTGAGTGGCAGGAAAAAAAAAAAAAACAAAAACGGAAAGAGAAAAGTGAGTCCCCTTTTGGAGACAGCTACCCCCATCTTATGGACATCACATGTGGGGCTTTTACATCGGGGCACGATGAAGGCAGGAGCAGAGCCAGCCACCTGCAGTGCCTCACTGTCAGCCACCCCACACAACCACCAGCTGTGCTGCACAGGAGCAGTACACTGCTTCACCAGCTGCCCTGTTGATTTCATGGTAAGAGGCACTCATATCAAAAGTCATGGTAGGAGACCCCAGTGTTTTGCTTAGGCAGAGAGGAAGGCTTGTAAGGGCTTGGCACCACTAGCCCCTGGCCACATTGCTGTGTCTTGGCACCAGGGAAGCTGAACACCACCGCAGTGAGCTTACAACTTGGTGGTGGAGCAGGTCTGCCACCCCCAGTCACAGTACTGGGAGACAATTACAAGCAACTGAGTTGTCACCTGTCAGCTGAGCCGCAGCAACTGGCACATCTACTCTCCTGCCAGCATGAGAAAAAAACATAAGAGTGGTTTAAATCAGAAGTGTCCCTCCCACCGGGCTAACAAACCTTCCAGGGCCTTAATACAAATGATAGTTCATTAAACTGTGGTCACTCAGTTCCTCACAACTGTCCACAAATGAAGACTGGGTAATATGTTATGCTAAATGCTCTTCAACGCTAATAAATTTATTTTTGGAGTATGATACTACTTGGGTATCATATTCTGGCCATATGTGCTTAACCACTTCAACAAGTAGTCTATTTGGGGCCGCCCTGTCAGAATTTGCCAGGCAATCTGCCATCAGCGCCAACTGGAAGCTGGAGTGACTAGAGGTGCTGCAAAGCAGAACAAACCCTGCCCTGTAATATTGAGGCTAGCACAATAAGCACACATATTCCTCAGCTTTTCCCCCAACCAGACAAGCAAAAGCTGCTGATGTGCCCTGCTTAGCCAAGAGTACCAGAGATGTTGCCTCACCCAGCACAAACCACCCTAATACCGTGGTAAACAACACCTCAGAGTACGTAGAGTCAAGAAGTCAAGGGAAATGCTTTTTATGACCTACCAGCACAGAACCCTAGACTGCCTGCATTCTCTCTTCTGGGTCACTCTGAGCATTTTTGGCTCCTCCCAACGGAGCCAAGGTCTGTGTTGGGGCTGAATTACAGCACTGATGTGGAGCAGCACTTCAAAGATGTCCTTGCATGCATGGCACATCCGCAGCCAGTGATCTGCCTCCTCGGAGACAAGAACTGTGGAATTACCACACAAAATAGCCCACTCCAAAGCAACAGGCCTAAGGCACACCCGCAGACAATGTGAACCATTGCCAAACTCCAAGCCTGATAGTAGCGTGAGAAGCCATTTGGTTATAAGGTCTGGTTTACTGCCTTTTGGGGGGGCTTCAGGAGACACACAAGACAAGATGTACCTTGGGGTGGCTTCTTTCCCCAACAAGCTCAAGGCAGCTCTTTCCTGCAAAGAAGGGAGGTTGGACAGGGTAGGAGAGGTGGGAAGCAGAGATCTTCTGCCCCACAAAGGCCAGCTGATACCCAGCCTTATGTTGCAGCACAAGAAAGGCAAGGTGGGGAAGCTGGTCAGATCCTGCAATAGCTGCCACTGGGAAGTGCTAAGATGTGTGCCAACAGGGAGAAAAAGAGATCAAAGAGCTTCTGAGGGGTTGGCTCCATGTAGAGCTCTCACCTGGCACCACCAGAGAGCTCCTTGGCATGGGACACCCCCAGCACTCCAGCACATACTACGAGCAGCTGCGTGAGTCCTCAGTGGGAAACAGCAAATTAATCCCACAGAGAGCAGCACCAGCCTTGCAAAACTATTTTTAACTTTATCATATTAAAAGCACTGCCATGAAAAGGCAAGGCTGTGCTAACAGCAATCAGAGGGCTGGCCTCATCTGGAAGGTGGGCAGCCGTCTTGCTGGCTGCACTTCAAGTCCCTTTGTGCTTCCCTCTCCTTCACCTACAAGTCAGATTTGCCATGGCGCTGGAAGTCATGGACACAGCTTGCACTCACTTCAGGAGTGTCATGATTTGGTCTGAAGCCCCAAAACCAAGTCACAAAAGCAGTTATGAATCCCCTACCTACCCTACAGCCCTGAGAGACAGCAGCCAGTAACTCGGAGGCTGTAGATTTGGTGGTTACGTTGCCAGGGCACGCAAGACCCTGGTAGAGCCCACAGGAACCCTGGACTTTACACTAGCCTTGATACGTGTGGAGCACAAAGAGATCAGAGCCAGGCCGTGTCACCTGCAGCAAGCTTCGTGGGAGGACAGATGTTTATTATGGTAGAAACCTCTGCTCTGAGTCCTTCCAGTAGCACATCTGCTACCTACCCCATCCCCAAAACAGACTTTCCATAAAGCTTGAGCGAAGTGCAGGCATTCTGCCACCTCCCTCGCACACAGGAATGTTTCAACCCAGGAACACAGAAAACAGGTTTTAAATGGCACCAGGTGGGTTACTTTTACTTCTGTCTACTACCTTTGTTTCACCCTTTCTTTGGAATCAGCAATGATTAAAGTCACTGCACAGTTGCAGATCTAAAGAATATGAAGGATATGCAGGAAAGTGAAGGAATAAAGACAAACAAGCATAAAGAAACACAACAACAACAAAAAATCCCCAAAACAAAAAAAGCCCCTCAGTAACAGTTTGATCCAACACCCATGGGAAATCAGCTGAGGTTGACTCATTGACTCCAGTGGGCCTTAGATCACCCTGGTGGATTTGTCTAAAGCCTTATCACAGCCCTAGGATATCCTAGTGGAACACAAACTAAGCTGAATTACTTGGGAAGTACTGTAGATCATTTTAAAGGTCAAGAATTACAATCATTCACTGAAATACTGAATTTTTTACTGTTTTCTCCGTACTTAGAGAAGAACAATTATGTTGAGAAGTCAAATGTTGGAACAGTAGCACTCACTATGTCAAGGCTTCAAGGACCAAATTCTGCCTTCAGATTCACATGCACATTTTCCATTGTCTACAATGGAAACAGATTATGTGTAGCTGACTTAAATTTTTTTTCCAGCATTTAAAAATATCCAGCTTTTTCATTTTCTGTAGTGAATATCAAATTATGATTACACTCTCTATGCTAATTTTTTTGTGGATTTCAAATGATGGCTTAAGACATCTTTGATGCATTTTAAGACATCTCAAAGACATCTTCGATGTATTTATTTCTGTACAGTTTGGGATAAGATTGTGGAATTTCCTGCACTGTTGCATTCCCCAGAATACTGAAAGAGTGGCTCTAAGTCAGTAGATTTTACATTAAGTATACACAGTGACGAAATACTAACAACCCGTGCTTAAACAGTTAAAATTATGTGTGTGACAGTGGTTTTGCCATTATACTTTGCATATTGTTGAAAACAATACTTTTTAGTCTAAAGACCAGCAACATTTTGATCACAGAAAATCATCAACAAAAACAAATGTTAAAAATAGCCTTTAGCTGACTTCGGGATTTTTCTCCCATCTGGCATAAATGAGTCTGAGGAAACAAAATGAAAAACAGACAAAAATTGTTGTAAATGGTTTCATGAACTTACATTGATGTATCTCTTATTTCTTTGTCTTGCTGATCAAGAATAAGCCAGCAGGTAAGAAGCAGCAGCCAGTGATAAGTTTGTCTCCTCCAATCTGGGAGGCCATGTTAAAATAAGAAGTTGAAAAAATGCTTCAAAATAGAATTGCTACGTAAGACTCCCTGGGGATTTACACTCACTGATGTGTGCATGTTAAAAATGGTATTTCCAGTCTACCTGGTGTTGCCTGAGAACCATTTTTGTCCTTTTAAAATCTGCATTTATATTATAACCCATTAGTACCTTTCATTTTTGTACCAACACTATAAATACTATGTTAGTAATACTAAACTATTTCTATTGACTTATTTGTAAAAAGAAAAATATATTATATATTTATATATTTTTATAAAGTGAATTAACACTGGAGAGAGGGCTATGGGGGAATAGTGTACAATCACAGTTGATGTGTATTATCGGGCACAAATTCAACGCTTGAAACAAAAAGGAAAGGAAAAAAGTGTTCAGGTGATACCCCTCTTTCAAGCTGTGTCAGAGGAGGAGTCATAGGATGCCGACACTATGAAGTTGCCAGTATTGGAGTGGCTCGCCATGGACTGGGCAGCCTGCTGGCTCAAGTTATTGCAGATCAGCACCAGCTGGTTGCTCTGCGCTTCCGAGAGGGTGCTACAGCTCTGGTAGACACTGAAGTTGGTCTTCCGGCCGGGGATGTTGCCCTTCTCGCACATCGTCTTTACCATCTTGGCCAGCTTGTTTTTCCCCAGGGCTTGGCAATTGTACCAGTGAAGGGCGGCCAAGTTGACGACGGGTTTGATGGAGAGGTAAAAAGGCGCATCCTCGTAGCGCATGGCCGGAGGCCGCCTCTGGGCATACTCCTTGTAGTCCTGCACGGGGCAGGTCTGTGGGGAGTGCTGGGTGGCATACACCCGGGAGTCCGTCCCACCTCTCTTGCTCTTGGCGTTGACATCTCCGTTGTCCGGCCCCATCCACTCCAGGTACTCCAACCCAGTCTCCGTCACCCGCAGCCGGATGTCTCCCCACTTGAGGGTGGACCCATGGAAACCCGTGCAGTGTCCAAACGCCTTCGTGTTGTTTAGCCAGACGAGGTTCAACAGCCCTTCGGGATTGTACCTGCTCAACAAACCTCTTTTGCGCAGGATAAGCTCGTCAGCAAAGGTGAGCTTCATGGATTTGTGTGGCTTGTTTCCTTTTCCTTTACACCTCAGCTCTATCTGCTTTTGCTTCAGAGCTTCCTGGGACCTCTTGAACTCCTTATCCCTCGTAATACTGTACCCATACCTGTGCTCTTTGAGATACCGCTCCAGCCCACACTGATAGTTGGCCAGACTGTTTGGCTCGTATTCAGACCCATCCTTTTGTCTGGCGTCCACAAAGAAGGAGGCAAGGTAGGCATCAAGCTCTTTGCAGGGGATGACGTAGATCTCCCGGGTTTCAGAGGGGTACTTGGAGATGAGGAACTCTCTGAAATTGCGGAGAGCCGTCTGTGTGCTGCGAATGGTCTTCTCGTTCTGTTCCCTGCTGAGCTCTGCTGCTCTCTCATCCTGGTCTGCAAGAGGGAGATGGGAAAACACAAAAGAAAGCAGAAGCAGTGAGTTTGTGTGATGCACTTTTCCCCAAAACATATTTCCTTAAAAACGAAAAAAAAGAAAAAAGAGAAAAAAAATTAAAATCAATTTCACAAAAAGCACTGGAAAACATTATTACCTACCTGTTACATGACTGAAAAGCCAACTTCAGTTTCACAAATGATGTACTAGAGTATGGCACAAAACCAAACTGAGCTCTCCATGACACTGGGGCACAGTTTTGTGCATGGAGATTTGTGGAAAACGGGATTAGAGGCAATCTGCTTTTTAGAACAAATGGAGGGTAGAAGGTTTTTGTGTTGGTCCCAATGCTGTGTGCACAGCCCAATCCGAGCAATAAGCCCATTCTGAATTGCTTCATTTGTGAAACCAGAGGTTGTACTGGTTCCAATTATTTTTACAAAAAAAATAAGTAAAGCATCACATTTATGACAGTAAAAATTATCTTTAATCAGAAACATTTTTTAAGAGCTAAATAAATGTAGACAGAAATGTACAGTACAAAATAATGCAGTATATCCTAACAAAGGATATAACAAAGGTAGTTTTACTGGCAGGTAAAACTACTAGAGCAACATGTAATTTACAAATGTACAAGAATGAAAAAAAAATAGTTAATATGTTCACATCAGAAGATATGGAAGAAAAACATGATTATACAGCCTCTCTACATAATTAAGCTGTACCTTGACAGTGGAAGTACAATTGTGACCATTTCTTTTCATTTGGCAGAAAATCCAATTTTGGAAACAACTACATGTTGCTCTGTAAGGCTATACTCAGAGGTCATTACAATCAGTGAGGACAACCACTACAATGGCTGTTACTGACAACTGATTTTCAGGCTGATCATAAGATAAGCATTGAAAGGAAAATCTTTTTACATATAAGGGATGTGTGTATTTAAGGACTGGTTTTGTGGCATATGCAAACTACCCGTCTGTAAAAGGATACACTGACAAGCACATAGGTGCAACTGTCATTAGGAACGTGACAAACCTTGTTGGTTGTAGAAAATGAACAGTAAATGCAAAGTAAGAAAAATTCAATGATTTGACTATTCTCTGTAATTGTGAATGGAACATTTTTTTTTTCTCTCTTCCATTTCATAAATAGAAGCGGGGGTGGGTGGGAAGCAAGTTCTTTTTTGGTCTGTCTCATTGCAAAACCCATACAATTCCGTGTCCTTTCAGCAATGTCACAGTGACACTTTCCAGGTGTCTCCCACCCAACATACACACCACAACGTGGTGTGAGACCAGGTGAAGGTCCCCCTGTCTCTCTGTCATTCAGGCCAAGCTCATGTCAGGCCATGTAGGAAAGCAATGCTTGGCAGCAGCGCTCAGAGACTTGCTCCTGGTGCCCACTCTGCCCTGCAAGCCTTTTAACAGGGAAGGCAGCAGGAAGGTGACCCTATCTCCTTCCCTTGCCCACCTTCAGCATTTGCAGTGCAGAAGCATCGGCACACAGCTGGGCATCTTCTCCTTCCACCCATCTACAGAGTGACTCTGAAGGGAGTTCATCCCATCACCTCCATACCACAGCTGCAGACAGAGGCCTGGGGAGTGATGTGCCCCAGCACTTGCTGGCAGGCCAGAAAGAGGGTCGAGTTTATATCCCCTGGGACTAGGTCCTGTGTCCTCACTGCCAGGCATGACCCAGTGAAACCTAATGAGAGGTTCTCAAACGTTCTGCGAAGCACAGAGAAGGAGGGGTCTGCAGCCGAGGCCTTTGGAGGCTTCTGCAGCCATGAAAAATGTCACAGAACACTGAGGATTGCTAGAACTGTGCTCAAGGGGAAAAAGAAAAGGTCACCAGCCTTTTTCAGAAACTGGTTTTAATACTAATGTCAGTATCAAAGAACTCCTGCAGTGAAGTCTCGTGTGTTAGAAAACGTATAGAGCAGATCCTTTTATTATGGCTAGATGCGGGAAGAAATAAAGAGACGACTCTGTTTGAAGCTCTGAAACAAACATTTACTCTGGTACCTCGTTCATTGCACCCACCACCACTTATTATAGCACTGTGTAAGTAATCAGTGCTTTGACTGACAGCCCACATTTCAAGTACTGTTTCAATATAAACAGCGCATATAATGGCTCAGTTTTATACATGTCATCAATCACTACTTCTTAGAGGATAGCCTGTCACAACACAGCAGTGACACCCAGTCAGTCACTTACATTACGGCATCTTTCCTTAATCTGCAAAGGAAATTGCCATATCTGCAGCTAAATGTTATAAAACCCATGCTGAATTAAAGATCCCCTGAAGTTGCGCAAGTGAAACAGTACTCCAGAAACACTGCATTCCTGCAGTGCTGTGGTGTGTTACTCCACATGGCAGGTGGAAAACGTTAAAGATAATGGGTCAGCTTCTTGTGCAGCCACATCAGGAGAGCTATGTCAGTTCTGACTGAGCATCCAGCCTGCAGTGGTAGTTGGTTACTCTCTTCCTTTGAGACTGCTCGAATACCAAGGATATCTCATAGCATGGGCACGAATGCAGGGAGGGAGTGAGACCCAACGGACAGTCCTGAACTACCAAATCATCAGATGTCATCATCTGCACATGCTCTTCATCCACAGCAAAAGCAGACGATGCAGCTGAGCCTAACTTAGCTAAGACAGCTCTTTATAGCCCAGGATAGCTCAGGAAGGAGACATAATTCTTCAAATCATTAAAGTCTTATTGCATTTAACCAAGGAGACTTCATAGTGCTGAAAAAAAACCATATCATCCATCTCCAACTACCATGGAGACATAAATTGTATCCAGGCATGCTTTTAGTATGGCCAAACTTTGTGTTTTCTGATAATTTCATAATTGTATTCTCTATTATTGTGGTGGTTGACCCTGGTCAGCATCTAGGCACTTCACAGACACTTGCTCACTCCCCACCCCAGAGGGACAGGGAAGAAAACAGGAAAAGCAGAAGTGAGAACACCTGTAAGTGAAGACAGAGAGAGTCTAATAACAGAAAGAGGAAAAAGAGAAACAGCCAACAAATGATGCAAAGGCATCACCCACCACCCCACCACCTCCCACAAGTATATCAACGTTCAGACATTCCCACAACAATGCCCACCTCTCCCCCAAAACCTCTCCCTTCAGTTTTTATTGCAAAGCATGATAGTACGATAATAGAATCATAGGATGGTTTGGGCTGATGATGTTGTAGGGCAGGTTAGCCTGGGTAGGCTGTTCCTGTTGACTCCCCTCCCACTTTCTTGCCTACCCTAGACCAAGCTGCTGGGGGAACAGCATGGAAAAAACAGAAAGCCTTGACACTGTGCATCAGCAGCCAAAACACTGGTGTGTCACTAACACTGTTTTAGTCACAAATCTGAAACACAGCAGGCTTTAAGTGGCTATGAAGAAAGTTAACTTCATTCGAGCCAGCCACAGCACAATTTACACCATTTGGATCACAGAATCAGAGATTGGTTTGGGTTGGAAAAGACCTTAAAGATTATCAAGTTCCAGCCCCCCTGCCATGGACAGGGACACCTCCCACTAGACCAGGTTGCTCAAAGCCCCATCCAACTGGACTTGAACACTTCTAGGGATGGGGCACCCACAGCTTCCCTGGGCAACCTGTTCCAGTGTCCCACCACCCTTACCCCAAATAATTTCTTCCTAGTACGTGACCTAAATCTCCCCTATTTCTGTCTAAAATCATTACCCCTCATCCTATCACTACACTCCCCGATCAAGAGTCCCTCAGCATCTTTCCTGTAGGCCCTTTTTAGGTACTGGAGTAGCTATAAGGTCTCCCTGGAGCCTTCTCCAGGCTGAACAACCCCAACTCTCTCAGCCTGACTTTATAGGAGAGGTGCTTCAGCCCTCTGATCATCTTCATGGCCCTCATTCTGGACTCACTCCAACAGGTCCAAGTCCTTCTTATGTTGGGGACTCCAGAGCTGGACACAGTACTCCAGGTGGGGTCTCACCAGGGCGGAGTAGAGGGGCAGAATCACCTCCCCCAAACTGTTGGCCATGCTTCTTTTGATGCACCTCAGGATGTGGTTGGCCTTCTGGGCTGCAAGAACACATTGCCAGCTCATGTTGAGCTTCTCATCTGTGAGCACCCCAAGTCTTTCTCCTCAGGGCTGCTCGCAATTTGTTCTCTGCCCAGCCTGTATTCGTGCTTGGGATTGCACCAACCCACATGAAGGACATTGCTCTTGGTGTGGTTGAACTTCATGGGGTTGGCACAGATCCACTTTTCAAGCTTGTCCAGGTCCCTCTGGATGGTATCCCTAATCATCCCAAAGAATTACCACTAATGAAACAGTGTCCAAGACCAGGTGCACCTTGTGTCCTCTCCATACAACCATTGACAGGGCAAGGATACTACAGAACTTCTTTTTTGGTTGCAGTCTGCAAATCGGCCCTTGTAAAATACAACAAACCCATCTATTCTACACATCTCTACTCTTGTCTATAGGAAACAAGCAGAAACAGAATCAAAGAATTCACCACAGTCTGTATGCTTGGCATTGATTGCTTCTGCTCTGGCCGCAGGGCCTTGAGACCCAGTCAGAGAAGATCAGCCTAGTGTAATGTCATTTTGTTCCTTACAAATCCACCCAGACTGACAGATAAAGAACGGCTACATAGAAGTAATTCAATCATTAAGAACTTCAAGACTAAAAGGCATCTCAACTTCTACCACAGTGAATTTTTGAAAATGTGTCTGTTATCGTAAGGATGTGACAAGGTGGGAGGACTGCTGAAGTACAAGACTTAATCTCTGGGTCTGGGTATTGAAAGTGAATGTTCTTGTGCTGAGACAGAAGTGTTTCCAGTGTAACAGTTCCCAGATGTTTACTTGGTCTCACTCACTGCTGCATCTTGCTGAATAGACACCAAAAGCTCTTTTGGCCAGGGCTTACTTTTCTTTTTATTTTTTTTTTAATTTCTGTGGGCTGCTGGAAAGTACTGAAAACACAGGTGG